ACTTGCAAGGCCAATAAAAGCACGAATGTCCTTTACACTTCGAGGACGAGGGAAGTCACGTACCAATTGTGTTTTCTCGGGGTTAGGTTGGATCCCATGTTGGGAGATAAGGTGACCAAGGAAAGACACAGATTGTTGGCCAAAGAAACACTTACTCGGATTCAAAGTAAGGTTAGCCGCTCGTAGACGATCGAGAACTAATCTTAGGCGGGAAAGGTGTTCGTCGAATGTGCAAGAAAATACGATAATATCATCCAGATATATTAGGCAGATGTTCCCGTCCAATCCTTGGAGTACTTGGTGCATTAAGCGTTGGAAGGTGGAAGGTGCATTGCACAGACCGAAAGGTAGCACACAGAACTCGTACAAACCCGATGCCGTGGCGAAGGCTGTGTACTGTTGAGATGATTTGTCCATTTCGACTTGATGATAACCGCTACGAAGGTCGAGTGTACTGAAGTATTTGGCTCCAGAGAGAGCATCTAAAGCATCATCTACTCGTGGAATTGGATAGCTGTCCTTACGTGTAACCGAGTTGAGCCTACGATAGTCTACACAGAAACGGGATGAGCCATCTTTTTTCTTGACCAGGACAACTGGAGCACTCCACGGACTATTGGAAGGTTGGATCAAGTTTGCATGCAGCATTTCTTGAACATGGTTTTCAATCTCTCGTCGTTTGGTGTGGGGGGCCCTGTATGGAGGTTGGCGAATTGGGGGACTAGGCCCGACATCAATTCTATGTTGGACCAGGTTTGTTCGACCCAAGCTTTTGGTTAAATGAGACAGGACGTCGGAGTATTCGATAAGCAGTTCTGAGAGGGCTTGTTTCTCAGGGTTAGACAACACGGAGTTGGTCAGGTTGGGAAAATCAGAGGGCGTGGCTGAAGCGGAAGTTGGGCTTGGTGGGGTTGGTGTTCTAGGTGGGTCTTGCAGATCAGCAAAATCAGATTGGTGGATTGTGCTTGCCAAGGGGTTGATAATAGGTAGTGAGGTGCTTCTCTGAGTTGTCGTGGGTAATCCTGTACATGACGTAGGGGTGGGCGGATCAGTAAGAGGTGTGGTCTCGAAATCTTTTTGTGTGAACTGTCCTAATGTGGCACCACGGAAGATTGTGACAGGCTCATCAGTTGGATTTAGTAACCGGAAAGGGATATTTCCTTGTATGTCTGGGCATACCAGGGATGCTGCACCAGCTAGATGGTATCTGTTGAGGAGTCTCTCTCCTGGCTCAATTAAACCAATAACATTATTTGTTATCTGACCAACAGTTGCTGGAATGACAGCTTCGCAATGTGCATCAATTACTTGGGTTTGACCACATTTAACGGGCAAGGAGCTGGGTGGGCAATTTTCATCCGCAAACATGAGCACATTGTCACCCAAAATTCAACGGTATGGGCACCCATATTGATGATAGCACGGTTTTGTTGCAGAAAGTCGCGACCGAGAACGGTGGAATAGCTAAGACCGGACACTACATAGGCGCTGCAGCTGTATTTTGTATGCCCCAAAGTGAGATCAAAGGTCACAACGCCTTCAATTGGTATGTGAGCACCGTTTGCCGTTTTGACCGATCGGAGCACTTCACTATTTTCTAGGGGTGTTGATGTACTTAAAACTTTATGGTAAAATTCTGTACTGATTACTGTCACAGCAGCACCAGTGTCCACAAGAACTTGTATAGGGGTTAGTGATACAGTACCATTAATCAAAACATTACTGAATTGGGTTGACTGATCCAGGACATTAGTTGATGGGGAAATGGATGGAATTTCCGATCTATCACGTACATTTGGCACTGGGACTTTAGGGGAAACATTAATATCTCTAGGTAATGTAATTTAATTTTAATTTAATTTAATTTAAAAAATTTCTATTGCGCGTGTTACATAGATAGATGCTCACTCGCGCATAAGGGTAGAAGGGGTGGTTGTGTTTGTATAAACTGACTTTGTTGGCTGGGTTGGACATGTGGTGAATAATGTTCATTGAAATGTCCACTCGTTTGCCAAAACGTGTCTGGATAAGAGCTGTTGTGATATCGATTTGGTGGGGAATATCCAGTTACTTGCGGGCCCCCCTGTGTCCCCATATGGAAGGCCCTTGGGAGTTTAAATACCCAGCATTATTCTCAGGATGTGGTGGTGGTGCTAAGGGATACTGATAGTTATGATAAGGGGGCTGGGGAGGAGGGGCATAGCGACTTTGGGGGCGGACTGATAAACGGGACGTACCTGCTTCCTTGCAATACCTTGCAACATGCCCAACTCTTTGGCAGGTATTGCAGATTGGCTGCCCGTCCGTTGTTCGAAGGTTTCGTCCTCTGCTGTCTCGCCGGGGATATCTGTTTCCTACACTGAAATCCTGTCGGTCTGTTGGGGCATTTTGTGGTGTGTCTTTCCTGATTTCGTCTCGAACTGCTGCTATGATATCCCTTTTCATGGCGTCGATATCCTGGGTAGAGGGAGTCTGAACAGGGGGATAATTGGTTGAAATAGGTACTACTGTGGATGCTCGTGGTCGGTCAATAGTGGACATTAAAAGTTGCACTTGGCCCTCGAGCTCTGCTAGGCGTTGTCGTTCTCTGAGGTTATCATTAGAAATTGTTTCTACTTGTTTCTCTGAAGCTTTTTTCTCATTTAGGAGATCATGTATCTGATTTATTACATTATTTGGAGCAGGTAACTCTGCTTTGCCACATTTTGTACTTCTGCTGACAGTATCTTTCAGGCGCGCCAAGGATTCGGCTTCCTCAAATGTTGTTGGGCGGTTCAAAATGACATGCGATTTTAACTCGTCGTTTAGTCCTGATATGAAACAGTTCATTCTGTTGGTGTCATTCATAGGCGTACGAGGCGGGGGGGGCTGGGGGGCTGCAGCCCCCCCAGTTTAGTCAGAAATATTAATTAGTCGGGCAATTTGTATTTACGAGTCGGGCAATTTATACTTCCTCCTCAAATATGAATCCTCAAATATGGTAGAATATGGTCGAATATATATGCTTGCAGCTTGCGTAAACCCGAATTAAAGGAAACGAAAATAATTGAAATAAACATGCTTTATTCTGCAAAATCTCACGCGGAGAATGCAGGAAATCACATTTGCGGGTCGCTAATTTTCAAAAATTTTCGGGGGGGCATGCCCCCAGACCCCCCTAGCATGGCACACGCTTTCGGCTTTCGCATCTCGGCTCTCCAAAACACTGACTCTGGCTACGCCGCTGCCTAAACTCGGTATTAGAGAGGTTAAGATACCCCGGTTCCGGTGTACGGGTACGGGTAGCGCCATTTTGTTTTCCATTTTTCGCTGATGTCAGCATATTTACCCGTAATATCTACCCGTTTTCCCGTTGTAAACGACGGTCTACACGTAAACAACGAACGGGTAACTACAAAGACAAAGTGGTCAAAGTTTTTTTAATAAAGGACAAATGGAGAAGCGGGTGAGTGTCTTTAACACGTTTAAAATACATTTTACGTATTAATATGGTGTTCATATTGTTCAGGTTTCTCAAAAATGGTTTGCAAACATAATTTATGAACGCCATCTTGATATTTTTGATTTTAAAAACAAACACACGAAATACTATAGTTATATAAAAGTTAAGTAGGACTTACAATGGAAATGTATAATACATATTTACTTTTATAGTCAGTTTTTACCCGGTGTTGTTCTTACCCGGAATTTAAGAAAATTCTTAAGTTGCAAACCGTACCCGTCTTACCGGTAACGGGTACGTGTAATTCACCCGTACCCGTACACCGGAACCGGGTTATCTTAACCTCTCTATTTCAGCGTTTGTACGTTCCAAAATACCGGGGGAGCAGACCCTGGACCATCCTTGTTTTTCTCGGTCTTCGGCACTCGTCGGGCAGAATATCCCCGCCCCCCCCAATATTTCTAGGCCCGTACGCCTATGGTGTCATTAAGTCCAAGTCGGCTGCATCTACGAATAATGTCCTCTGTGTAACTGTTAAGGCTTTCGCTCTTACCTTGCTTTCGGTCATTTAATTGTTGTCTCTGAAGGAACTCTTCGTTTGGTGAAGCAAATCGCTGTCGAAGGGCCGTTATTAGACTAGCATAATTGTTCCTTGTCTCGTCAATTGTCTCGTCTGGTACCGTATGTAGCCATGCCAACGCTGGGCCTTCAAACAATAGCATTAATGCAGACAGTTTCTTGGCGTTTGTCCAATTATAAAACTTGCTGTATCGTTCAAATCTTTCGATAAAGTCGGTAATATCCTCATACGAAAACCCACTGAAGGATTTTGGGCGAAAAAATGACGATGATGATTGTCCTTCAATGGCAGCTTGCATGGCTGCCATCTGCGTTCGTAGTGATTCGACCGTTTCTTCGACGTTTCCGGCTTCTGGAATGTCAACTATAGCGTCCCTTTGCATCGTTCCTTTTGACGGCTGTGCTTTGTATTTTGTAAACAATACTTTCTCGTCGGGGTAACCAATGTTATGATATTAAATTATACTGTCACACGTAATGTTATGCTTTGTTTATTATCATAAATATGCGTCTAAAATACTCAATTCGTCAATACTTAAATCACATCTCTTCTTCCTAGCCTCCAAAACAAAATCTCCTCATGGTCCGTACTTTTCCCAACTTTTCCCCACTCTATACACGCATAAAGACAAGGGTTGATTTGATAGGCTAAAATGCTTATAAATTATTAATCAGTTTTAGGCCAAGGGAACCAATTTTGACATGCCTGTAAATTGACTCCATTGTAAACAGGTTTTTTCTCAATGGATTGTTAAGCCGGTTTTCCACTAGCGATATTTTTCGCGCGAAGCGACATTTTACTTTAGTTTCAGAGCTCTCAACAGCAACCATCTGGAACAAATTGCTCAAATACAAAGGAATAAAGTCGCTTCGCGCCAAAAATATCGCTAGTGGAAAACCGGCTTTAGAGCAAGGCAGTCAAACTTAAAGCTACTTGTTCTGTATAGCTGTGTGATCATTTATTGCGAATTTAGTATGACTCACTCTTCATGCAGAAGTTTGACAACACGCAAATATTCAAATAAACACGGAAGTTCGCTCTTTTATAGTATGCTTAGCATGCTCAATACAATATTAACATATATATTTCTATATTTCGTGGTGCTTTTTGTCATGATTCGTGTCCGTGACAGCTGTTTCCTCTTTCATATTCGGTTCGTCATATTTCACAAGTTCTTCGATGTACTTGTCCTTTATCCATAAACAACCTCAAAATAGAACAAAATGTAAGCTGGGATGACGCATGCATGATAAATTATTATATCGCTCATTGGCAAGGGTTGCATGCTTTAAAAGAATAAAGGCAACTTCCCACTAGCACTAATTCCGTCTTGTGGAAAAAATCCTTAGTTTTTGCAAGAGGAGATATGCGCAGTAAATCACGATCATGATTGACTCGAAATTCTCATAAATATTAACTCCAATAGACTCAAGATATAGGAATAATCTTTGACTGAAATACAGCACATAAAAACATGCCAAAGGCAAAGACCAGAGCCTTTTTGAAGCGTGTCGGTGCACCAGAAAAAAGGACTTAACCAGTATATTAAAAGTATGGGAAGGCGGCGCCCAGAGTAGGGGCAAAGTTGGAAATCATCTCGGGGTATTATGAACACCCACGAAATTAAGGTAGAGAACTACTGGCTGGTATATATTGGTATGTAAATGTGGGGTTGTTGAGGTGTCGGTCAGCGTGCACGTGAGACCTACATTCTTCATCGCATGCTTACTAAACTCTTGAGCCTTCTGTCCAGATGAACTTATATAATATATACAGTGGTCCAGGAAAATTTACCTTCTATGTTGTAAATACTGACTTAAGCTTCAGGAATGACATGACATGCGCAGGTTACAATTGGGCTGCTTTTTACCTTGGCTACTTCGCCGAGACAATACTTTATTGGCACATAACCATTTTAGAGGGTTGCTCTCCTGCGATGCGTAAAACCATCTTCGAATATCGTCTTGGTACTTCACCAACATATTGTAACACTAAGTGTAAAAGGTATGTTAGGTTACCGCAAGAATCCTGTCGGTAAGGAAAGAACGCAACTCTTGAATACAAATATGCAAACCTGTTTCTCGAGTCTTTTTATCTCGCCGGTTGGATCATCAATATCTGCAGCGTCAACATTCCAAACCCATTGAACATTAGGCGCATGCGCTGTCATTTCATCTGCCTGTCGTCGCAAAAAACTTTTTACTAAATCATAAGGCAAGTAAGAAAATCATTTCATCAGAAAACCTCATTATAGAAATCTAAGTTTAGCTAAAACACTAAAATTCTCGAGCGCGAAGGAGGAATTAAAAAATGATTAAAAATATAAAATAGATTATTTACCGGTCTCGTCGGTCCGTATAGGGAAATATTTCCCGCGGTTTTAAAACCCTTTACGGACCTCCAATCCAGTAAACAACATATACATATTTCAAAAATATTTGACAGTATAAACATTCGTTTATTAATTATAATGGGCGCCGAAATTTACCAGGTTGGCATGCATACAAGGTGGCTTTTTTCAGCCATATAATTTAATTATATTTTATTTATGTTCTGTTGAAACATATATGGGTGCTACCTCCTCTACGATACCGAAAAGGTGTTTTCTTGTCAATATTGTACTTTTTCATTTCCGCGCAAAGTTCGTCAAATACGTGCCAAATGACCATGTCGCTAAAAAACAATAGTAAAATCTCAGTTAGCGTGTCCAGTGTAGCGTCTGATTGACAATGGAGAGGAATGACAATGTCTGATTGACAATGGAAGACGGAAGTGTGTTCTACATATCGTGTTTTAAAGTACAGTCACTATTGCATACATGGTTATTAACTCCGCCATAATGCAACCATATACTACCTTACTGTACAATGGTATACATCCAACGGTTTGTTTAACCAACGAAATCTATCATGATACTCAAAATGCACAAATTAGAAATCCATAAACTCACTCTTTATAATACACAGGACGCCCTTTACTTGTGACTGTTTTTACTTTTCCAAATATTTTCAATTTTCTCTGAATTTCGGTCACCATCAGTCGGCAAACTAGAAGAAATGTTACAAAAATCACAATATGCCATATTGACATTTGGTAGGCAGGCATATATAGTACGGATATTATGCAATTATATTATCCCAGAAAAAATTGCCGAAAATTTCATTCTTTATCTTTCATATTGATCTTTGGCTTATAGTTTTACGTCATATAATTATAATAATGCATGGACACAACCTATTCACGATAGGCGGTCTTATTGACAAACCTTGGCATTTAGTCGGTAATTTCTTTGTGTCTTCCTTGCTCTCGTTATACAGTTTAGCTTCCTCCTCATCAAAAATGTCTTTCATTTCCAACATTTCTTCTTTTGTCTTCTGTTCCAACCGAACATTCATTTGATCCAATTTACGAACACGGATGCCATCGACTGCAATAAACTCATCTTCTACGCCTATGTTTTCCGAAATAAATGTAACACCACAGAATAAAAGAAGAATATGCAACGAACTGAGATACATTCTCGAGCAAAACCTTGCCTAAATTAAAATACAAAATGATGTATACTCGCGAGTTGGTTCTACATTATTACTTATTTTGTCGTATTTTAATTCTATACGCTACGATTATGATATATAAAATTAAAAGTAAACATAATGTGAGCATATTCGTATAACACCTATTAAAGAAACACTGCGCATTCAAATAGAACTAGAGTTTTATACACTCAGCTGTTTGCCTATGATAAAGGCCTATTGAAAATACTATAAGTCTATATATAGCCTGCCTTCAAAATTGCCTTTTTAATATTGAAGCTTTAATTTCAACGGAATCTTACATTGGCTATATTAGTTTTGTCTCAAAATTTAACTACTTGATTTATATAACGATATACCAGTACGATATACTCGTTTCATTTTCCATCAATTTTCCTTCCGATATTCAATTGCTTTCCTTCCGATATTCAAGACCGGCTGCAAGGAAACGGGCTGCATATATCCCCTGAAGTGTTTGTGACAGTGACCCTGTTCGGACGTTTCTTAGTTTTGACGCCGGATCTTAATGCGTCCAAGTCATGCACATTTCAAGTATTTACACGAGTTCTAATTTAGACGTTCATGTATCTTTCAATCTCATAACAAAAAGCACACATAAATTGGCGCCTGAACAAACAATCGCTCATATTGCCTTTGCTTTCGCGAAAATATTGTGTAAACAAATGCTCACATGCACGTATGCAACGGTCAAGACTATAGGATAACTTTGAGTCAAATGATCCTCGCATTGCTTATTAACAATAAGATTGCATTCAATGCATATAGTTATAAATTAAAGTATTTGAGGTAAAGTTTCACCAGTACAAAATTTGGTCTGGAAATATAATATTTAATGGCACGAGTAACTGGAGTCATGATGTTCATTGTATTCGTCGTCAAACGAACAGAATCAAACGCAGAGGCGGAAACACAGCAGACAAAACCGGATCCATACTTTGAAGAGTGGAAAGACAATGCGTGGCAAAGACCAAGTCGATGTCATGGTAAGAAAGCAAAAAAAGAGAAATGACAACAAAGCTATAAATCTTAATAATATTAAACTTAGTTTGGTTGTGATATGATAAGCTTGCTCATATATCTTACGCTACCAAATTAGGTTCAGAAAAACTTAATCATGAGAAATTTGACGTAGCTATTATATCCTTTCAATGGTTTAGTGGAATGGCGTTAATAATACTAGTCTGTACTACAATAATTTTGGACACATAACATAGCAAGTTCATTTAGGATTTCAAGCATTGATAGTATGCAATAGCCAATAAATGGAAGAGAACACCTATCCACCTGTTGTAAGCTATTTTATTATATTACCTATATGTTTATAATATATCAGTTTGAATTCAATATTTTTTTTTTTTCGCAAAAGTAGCCTACATCACAGTAACCTTCCAACAGCCACTTGTGATGATTCCTAAACCACTTAAACTGTCGCTTTTGTATATTGTTCCAGTTTGTCGACTTCTTGTCAGAGAGCTGTACGAGTCATTTACTCGGACAAAGAGGAAAGATATACTTTACACTGAATATCAACTTGATGAACAACCGTTGAAGAAGAAGATAGTATATGAAAAATCGTAGGTTTAATTTCACGTCAATATAGCCACAAATAAGGAGGTTATATGTTTTTTAGAAACAAAAAAACAGAACAAAATTCGAAGATCAACGTCCTGAAACCCAAAATATAGGTTGAAACAAGACAAAGAATGAGTTTATTCGATTATTTTTTTAATGATTTTTCGATTTTATTGCAAAATCATCATCAGACTAACTAAGATTACAATATATACTACACAAGATGTTATATATATGTATACGATCGGTAATCCGAGGCAGCAAAAAACGGAAGTCTCAATCAAGGAGCCAGCGACAGGCTAGCAGTGAGAGATGTGCATGATGATCTTTAGATATAAGTAAATTTTAGAAGTAGGTCTAGTTTTAAGCTGTTCGTAAATGTTTAAGATAATATGATTAATAATTAATTCAAAGAGTCTAATTATGTTCACGTATACAACGAATGCCTATTATAGAGGTGTTGTATCAGACCGTCAGTCCTTACAAACATTGTAATTGTCATTGACTATATATAGTTATATATATAAAATGCTAACTCATACCTACAGACTTGATTAAAGTTGTAATTAAAGTAACATACGACAATAATACGAATTCTTTCCACAACTTGCCAGCTCGATGTCTTGTACATGCAACATCTTCTCAATATATACTTTTATATAATCAACATGTGCATTGCAAGTCATTCTATTTCACATTGTTAGGGAAATAAGATTGCTTGAAACAATGGAAAATGTTTGTGATCAAATGAAATCCTATGTTTCCAGAGCTAGACGGAAATTCCCTTACGTGAAAGGAGGTATGTGTGGAATAGTTAAGGTAAATATTCCAGATTATTCCATGTTTTTTCCGCAAAATATACAAAACTGATTACTTTATTCAACTTGAACATAGCAAAAAGTCATTTTCGGGAAGGATTAGACAATATGCTGGCGAACTCTACAGTGAAGTTGAATATCGAAGCACCTCCGGACGACTTGGTTGATGATAGTACAAAAGAAATTATTCGACTGAAGTTCAAGGTATATTTTATCAATTCAATTTACTGTGTATTCATGCCTGTTATAACTTCTCTTTCCAATGAAATATAGTCCAGGGGCCAGTGGTAGAAAAGACTAGTTAACTTTTAACTGTAGTTAAGGACAGAATTGGCCAATCAGAATTGTGTATTTCTGAGTTAACTAGGATTTAACTATGCAAAATCTAGCTATATTTAAAGTGGTTTATCATACAACCGGAACCTTCACAACTACGCGATAAGTCTATTTTTATTTTTTTATTCATTAACATTTGCCACATCATACTAATATTACAATACAAAATGAAAATGTAAATGTAAATGTTTGATGTTTTATGAACTTTAGACCTCAGGGAGCATTTACGTACTCCCTTATAATAGAGCAATATATTATAATATTATATATGCTCCCTGATGATTGCTTGTTGCATGAAACTTGAAATAGCAACTTATTCATTTTAAAAAATTGTAATGAAAACATTATATTATATATATTAATTATCTTGTCAACGTAGCCGTGAAATTTCTTTAAGATTTCAAATGACGTAGTCCTCTGTCATAACTCGTTCAAGGAACAATTGTTTTATATAATAGCATGCGCAGTCGTTTTATTCTTCAGTGCGTACATATGCTGGAAGAATTTGAAGAAGACATTACAGAATGGTATTTTAACTATAGAGAAGAAAATCTGTTGGAGTGGTTATGTAAATTTCGCGTGTTAGCGGTAGAGGAACAAGGTAGTGAATAAATTGCCTTAATTGCAATTTGAATTTGTTTTCTTAGTTGAATTTATTTTGCGGCACAACGATCAGCAATCACTGAATATTTCCCAATGCCGCATATAGTATTATAAAATAATATCTATCTATCTATTATATACCACTTGTCAAATTTGATGTTCGTAGCGTTTCATTGGCGAGAGTGAATCACGCGAGAGTGAAGGCGGATTTCCACTTACAGCGAAATCGTTCGCTAGCGAAATATTTGCATATTTTCTTTTGAATTGTGACCAGTCAAACCGCCCTAATTTATTTATGCCGTTAAAATTCAAAAGAAAATATGCAAATATTTCGCTAGCGAACGATTTCGCTATAAGTGGAAATCCGCCTTGACGAAATTTTGATTTCGCCAGCGCGACCCCCTGCAGAGTGTGATAACGTGTTATCCACTGGTGTTATCTCATGGGAAATAACAACTTTAATCACGTGTGGCGCACTTGGATGTGCGACCCTTGGACTGTTTATCCATTTGAAACTATGTCTTTAATGAATAGATACTTTGTTGTTTACCTTGTAGTTTGGTTTTTCTTTCACAAATGGTATATAATAAAAAACTTGTTTACCGAGAACTCAGAAAACATTATGTTTCCTTCGTTCGCAGTAAATAAGTGTTAAATAACGCGTGTTATTATATACCACTTGTCAAAGTTTTGTTTTCGTAGCGTTTCATTGGTCGAGAGCGAATCACGCGAGAGTGACGACATTTTGATGTCGCCAGCGCGACCCCCTGCAGAGTGAGATAACGTGTTATCTCATGGGAAATAACAATTTTATTCATTTGAAATTATGTCTTTTATGAATAGATATTTCGTTGTTTACCTTCTAGTTTGGTTTTTCTTTGACAAGTGGAATATAATAACTCGGCTTTGCCTCGTGAAATATCGACAGGTCTCGGATCCACAAAACATAATGTTTCCTTCGTTCGCAGTGAATAAGTGTTAATTAATTTGATTGGTCGAAACCCGTTTTTGGATCAGTTTCAAACACGGAAACCGATAAGTAATTGTTTATTCTTTTATAGGTTTCCCCCCCTTAAGGTACATGCAGTATGCGTTAGCTTTGCGTTCATTCTTTCATATATTTCCTACTCTTGATAACCGCAGAAGGGAAATTAATCCACTGTGTTCTAAAAACACAGAAGCATCGCCAGTCATAACACAATTAAGGGCTTTCACTATAGCTAAAAAATGGAAAATTTTGCGTTAACTGATCACTTTATTTCAGGATGTCTACATGAATCGGATGAAGTTGTGGATCCTGAAGATGACACAACGACAACTGTTTACGCACTTGATGAGAAGAATGAAATTAAATCCACTGTTCGAAGTGAAGAGAAAGAAGAAAAAACGGTTGCTCAGGAAAGCCACAGCCAACACGGATCTGAGTATGATTGGCATAATGGAGATGAGAATATCAATTTTTCCGAATCACACTTGGATTTATAGCTGTTGGTTCATTATAGAGAACGAGTGGAAGAGATATTAAGCTCTTTACCTAACTTGAAATTAATAAATCAATATTAAAGGCCAGCAGTAACTTTCCAACATTTGAAGCACCTCGAAAATACTTGTAAACTGATATATACTAACATGCATGTATATATATTATACTAAAATACTTGTGTAGGGCCTACATTCCAACCGGAGTGTGCTGCAAATATATTGCATGTGAGACCACAGGAATATCATTATTATTTTCTTGTACTCATTACCTGAACTTGGATATTCATTATCAAACCTCACTTCTGGTTTTGCTTAGAAATAACCCACTTTTTCTAATAGATTTGCTCTGTGATATTTGATATTATACTAAAACACCTGTATCATTCCAACCGGAGTGTGCTGCAAATATATTGCAATTGACCACAGGAATACCATTATTATTTTCTTATATATTAATTCATTAGCTAAAATTGGATATTCATAATCAAACTTCACTCTCCCGGTTTTGCTTGGAGAAAACCCACTTTTTTAACAGATTTGCTTTGTCTTGGCAAACTTGATTTCTAGGCATCGAATGAATTTGTGGAAATCAATAAAGAATAAGTTTTTATCTCGCTTTATTCAACGTGAACAAGTTAACACGTAATTATCGTGGATTCTTACAGGGAAATTAAGAATCTTTCATAAAAATCAATTCGATTCATGTTATATATTTATTAGTACAGTTCATTCATTATTAATAATTATAGTCTTATATCTCTAAGCGCAACACTTTGAACACGCGTTCAAATAGTGAACCATTTGAATTGTTACTAAAAATTCATATATTATTGTCTCAAGGTCAGTTGTTGCGTCATTGGCATGAAAGCTGAGTTCGATTATTTCAATCAAAACAGGCCTAATGCTAATTAAAAAAAGTTAGCCAGATCTTAATTCATGGTCTCTCTGTCCATTTCTACCTCGCTGAGGTCGACGAACGAAGGCACAAACTCTTCAACATCTTTGACGCTTCGTTTCTGAGTAATTTATTTCCCCAAAAGAACACCAGGCAGTCTAATGACGAGGCCATTAAATGTAGAAAAGTTCCCCAGGTGACTGCAATCATTTGATCTGTAGAACTCAACTGTGTCCTCAGCATTTGCATGATGACAGGCAGCATGAGGGACCCAAAAGAGCATGCCACAACGATGAAACAGGACTTCGCTAGTTTCAATTTCATTAAAAGTTCCTTTTTAGATTTCGCTTGCGACGAGTTTTGTTCGGAAGGTCCGATTGCTTGACAAATATGTCTTTCTTGACTATTTGTTTGTCTGTTTTGACCAACAGATCCGTTAGTATCTGCATTCTGCCGGGATTGGACATTGTTCAAATTACTGTTAGTATCTGCATCCTGTTGTCGCGATTGGACATTGTTCAATTTACTGCTACTATCTGTTTCTTTTTGTTTCAATCGTCTCATAGCAAAAATGTAAATTTTTAGGTACATGAAGACAGTACTAAAGAAATGCAATGCTAATACAAGTGCGAAGAAAGGAATAAATAATTTCCTACTAATCTGAACTGAGCCTGCGCAAATGCCTAGGAAGACGAAAGAAAGGCAAGTAATGTATACAAAAAGTCTCTTTTTTGTCAACTTATTACGATGGTAAATTGCATGCAAGATGCTCAAGTATCTTTCAATATTCATTGCGGAGAAAATAAAAATAGAAATGGCGAAGCTTATGAAAAATGCGAGAGTGAAAGCAGAATAAACGCTACAAATATCACTGCCGACCAACCGCTGAACCACATTAGCTGAATACAACGGTGAAGCTATCGCAGAAATTCCCATGTTGTTGATTGATTGAACAAAGACTAAAAAAAAGCAAAGCTTTTCTTGCAATTGTTTCGAAGAACGAAATGTCATTATTGTCGTTAGATTTAGCAGGAAAGTTATGACAGTAAACAATGTGTTTAAAACGCATATTACCACCACCTGGTTCTCTAAATCTGTTTCCAATGAACGCTTTTGAGCTATTTCGAATTCAAGTTTGAAAATGTAACATGTTTTAACTACGGCGATGTTTTCTAAATCAGCAGTAGAAGAGTTGTTAGCCATCTTCTCCTCTTCTTGTGTCCGTTTCGATGTCTTCTTTTTAACTATTTTCTCGTTCGTTGCTTCTTCTTTCAAGAATTTTGAGCAAATTGATTTTAAAAGTTCATGTTACCGCAGGCTTTATATATATTCCCAAATAAAACTGACAGCTGACAGTTTCCTTATTTTCTGCGCCTAGCTCTTTAGTAAAATTAATTAAATTACTGTTTGTCGGCGGTGTAATTAAACCATGCATGCATTGACCATCATGCAGCTAGAAAAGAAATTCGACCGAATCAACATAGTATTATCCATTAAATATATAAATTGTAGCTGTATTCAAAAAAGCAATATTTCGTTCGTTAGACGAAAGTAGAAAAAAAATAAGACATCGTTTAAATGCAATATATACTTTAAGGTACACATCACATTAAGTTGCATGTTAAGTTGTGTGAATATATTTCGTGAATGAAAAATGAAATGCGTAATGCGAATGTTTCACTCAGAAACTTGAAAGCCTGGGAATAATTCAACCCCGTGCAGTTTATACAATTACTTAAATACCTGTCTATTAAGATAAGTTGTAATAAAATGGCATGCGCAGGGAATCTGTTAAATTTATGTATAAAAGTGGGCAACAAATTGAAAATAAATTTTGAGAGCTTACATGTGAATGTTGTCGTTGAACAATGATTGTCACATTGATTTTGAATATCGAAAGTCTATATTTTGCGACATTCATCTGCTCATATCGAATTCTAAGCGTATATATATTTTTGAAAGAGAAATAGAGATAATAATCTGTCAACTTTATAATATTCATTCGAAACTAGCAATTCATGAATTCGTATTGCCCAACAAGCAGTTTTGAATCGAGTTTTCAAAGTTGCCATTTTGCAAAGTTCCACGTCAAATAATTTATGCCAAATATAAGAGAAAATAAATAACGAGCTTATCATTTTTGAAAAATATTATCCTTCGTTATCCTTCGATAATATGTTTTTCTTGTATTTTATTACTATACTTTACTGTGTTCAACACATGAGTGTATAAAAAGTGCCTGAAAATAAGAGTGAGATTGGAAAAACTAGGCATGTAGGCTAATTAGTGGAAAAAATTACAAATGAAATTGGATGTTAAAAAACTAACCGAAATGTGAGGCATTTCACCTGAATACTTATTGTCATTCGGCACATTATTCATGAAATTAAAAAGGGAACGCTTGATCTTTAAAGTTATTGCTGTAAAACCAATGACTTCGATAATTGGGGGGCCTATATTCATATCAATTATTCATTTGCATGAACAGAGAATTTCAAAAAAAGACCGAATTCAAAAGATATTGACAGTGCATGCAAAACATGAATATGCGAATATTGGTCCCCTCAATTATCGATACTTCCTATAGGCTATATACGTATTCAAATTTGCCGCAAAGCAGCGGTAATGTGAC